GGCTGAGCCATCGGAGCCTGATGCGCGAAATAACGGTGCTGAGCGGTTCAATTCCTTTTCCTGTGCCGTAAACAAGGCGTCGAACACGCTCGCTGCTCACGCGGTGTTCCCACCAGATGTGAGCTAAATTGCGGAGGCACCGGTGGTCGAACGTAACTAGCCTCTTGAGGCCCGCTGCTTTAAGCGGTCAGGTTTCACAACCGTACAGTAGTGTCGAACGTACCGCTGCATTGTACACTCAAACTTTCAGTGAAAGAGTCAGGTCACGCCGGCTCCAAACTTGGTGAAGGTTAACAAAAGCGTCCCGAACTTTTGCTATACGATTCGTGATCTCATCTGCAATCACACCGGCGCTGATAAAATTTCACAGGTAGTTGAATTTTTGAACGACTTCTAACTGATCCCCACCAAGGGTCAGCGTAGGGGGCGGTCCAGACCAATTTTGGAGGAAAGCTTTGCATTTCGATGGTGCGAAGCAAAGCCCGAAGTGACGGACAGCTAGTGCTAATCCGTCCAGTGCCGCTTGGCACGTCTGTGAGCCGTCATAGATCAGGGAAATATCATCAGCATACTCTAAGTCAAGAAGTCGTTCTCCTGGGAGTAGCTCCACACCTTCTCATTCGTGTCGTGCGAACGCGATTTTCATGACTTCGTCAAAAGCGAGGTTGAAGAGGAAAGGGGATAGCGGGCATCCTTGTCTCACGCCGTTGGAGATATTAAAGAGCGACGACAACATGCCGTAAGCCTTCACTCTCTCTGAGCTACGCGCATGGAACGCTCGGATAATATTCACATATTTCTCAGGTACACCATTCCTGCGTAGACAGTCCCAAATGCATGTCTATCCACGGAATCGAATGCACCTTTGATATCGAGGAACACGACAACGGTGGGCCGCCAATATATGCGACGGTGCTCCAACAAATGACGCAAGGTTAAGATGTGGTCAATGTAGCCACCACCTCAACGAAATCCAGCTTGTTCTTCACGAATCTGGCTTTTTACGAGTGCCAGTCAATCTGTGAAGGAAGACAGAGGCAAGCAGTTTGGAGGCGATGGATATCAGACTGATTCCTCTATAGCTGCCGCATTCCGATCGTAAGCCTCCTTTGAAAATTGGGACTATGGTGGACCGGCTCCAATCGGTTGAGACAGTTTCCTGCTCCCACAGTTTGACTAGTAACTCGTGTAAATCATCCACAAGAGCAGGTCCTACAAATTTGAGGAGGGCTGAAGGAAGATAAGCTTGTCCCGCGGCTTTATATACTTCAACAGTTTGAACTCACTTTCGACTTCTGAGCGGGTGGGTGGATCCAAAGGAACAGCGCACGGAGCAGGGCGATCACTGGTTGGCGAGAAATACAACAATTCCGACCGATTACATTGCCTTTCAAATTGCTCAGCCCAACGCTCCAAGCGTTTTGACTAATTGTGGATAGGCTGTCCACTCGCATCGCAAATTGTTTCACTAGCGCCAGGTCTCCTGCTGCCCGTTTCCAGTATCAGACGGAATAACTCACGATGGTTACCAAGGGCAGCGGCCATTTCCAGCTCTGTTGCACGATTTGACCACCAGGATTCTCGGTCTCTCTTCAGGCTAGCACGGAGTTTTGCCCGGAGCTCTTGGCGAGTTTCATTTTGTTCGCTTTCAGCTGGAATATGCCAGCAACCATCTATAAGATCCAGAGACTGTGAAGAGACCCAATGTCCATGTTGGCGATTAGACATACCACATGAGAATTTTCCTGCTGCAAGTAAGGTCTGGGGAATATGAGACCAGTGAGCTTCAATTGCATCCAGTAAGCGTTTATGCAACTCGCATGACAGCGTAGTTTGATAGGCATTCAGAACAGTTGGCTTCGCCGGTTGGCTGGTGTCAATGCGCTCACAACGTCGTCGTGGGCGTTCGCCAAAACGCATCCACAGGTCAGCACATACATTTGCATGGTCGGTGTCCACACCTGTGCTCCAAATCGAGCCACAGTTCTGGACGCAGGCTCTCTATCGGTAACTTATCGTAATGTGATCGATTTGCGTCCATAGCTGGTACGAGGCTGGTGGGCGCCAAGTCACCCTCCGGCGGGTGGTGTGTCTGAAATTATTGCTCGCAAGAAATAAGCGAGCCTAAGCGAGAATTCCCATCGCAATGAGGTTGGACCTTACCGTGGTGAGATGGTTTGTGTGCCTCGGTGATCCATTGAGCTATACTGGGTGGTGCATTCTTGCACCTTCAGAGCCACTCATACCAGATTGGTCAATGGTTAGAGGCCAGTCAAACTCAGCCTCCTGGTCCTCCAGGTTAGGGGTTGGAATGAGGGTGGCTCCTTTTTCCTTAAAACGGACTCTCTGTAGCCCAACGCCAAACCCGCTGCCTTGCGGTCAGGTTTCTGAACCAAAGGTTTTGGTTGAGAACCCTAATCGTTCTCCTGTCTACGCCTGGGCAACCTGACAGTATCCCGCCCACTCAATATAATGAATCATAATTCAAACAAATTTCTGA